TTAGGGAGAACTGTAAAGAGACATTGCAGAGTAAAATCTGGTTGGTTGCAAGATTAATTGGATGTGGAAGAGTAAAGTTGATGAAATGTTAAAACAGGTAATGGTGAACATTTAAAATCTAGAACAGTGGACCCCAAGCTTTCTTGCACAGTTAAGTCCAATTATCAAAATTTTCTATTAATCACTACGCTACTGGTGTATGATCAGACATTTAACACAAAGCATTTGAAAAGTTATATGGTTCTACAGGAACAGTAATTCATTAAGCATTAATTAAAACAATGGACAGTTTGCCTATATGTTAATTTCCCTTCTGTGTAGAATTACAGCTTTCCTTCTTTAAGATTCATAGTTCATTCAAATTTAGATCAAGAAGGTAGAGGCCACGGAGTAGGGGACAAGGCTGGCAGGTTTATGGGTGGAATGGATGCCTGAGGGTGACTGCATTCATAACCATACACGCTTACAGTTGTTACGGAATAGTGCTGGATGGCCAGAGCAGAAGAAAAAGGTGAGAATGCTGTTGGCCTTGAGTATGTTCATAAGACTGAAAACTTTGTGTATAAAGCAAAAGGCAAGGGCATGTCAGATTAATTAAATTTGATACCCCTTTTTCCATTTATTAACGAAAGATGAGTCAAATGTTAAGAGGCTGTTGTAAAAGGAACTGGGATTTGTACAGGCAGAGTGACAGAACTGAATTTTTGCAAATGTGGGAAGAACTGCTGCTACTTGTACTTTAAAAAGAAAAAGAAATACCAATGATTCAATTTTAGTAACATCAGGCTTGTTCTGGCAGACGCAGGGTAAAGGAAAAATTATCTTTAATATCAGACTCTCTATTCAATTTTATATGCACTGTGTAGAATACAGTCACTCTGTTTAGCATGGTCATAGCAATTCAAACTTCCATGGTAGAGTCTAGTGTCTGGTTTTCTCTTCCAGGGAACGGAAAATAACACTCATTTAATTGCAACAGTTATTTTTGGTGAAAATTTGTTTGTAGAGATCTGGTTTTTCTGTCTTAATTTTCAAGTGGACTGTCTCTGCGGCGTTCACTGAATTCTTAAATTCTTACTCATGTGATCTTTAAATTAAGGAGGCTAAATTGCCTATTGCAAGCTACTGTCTGCTGCATTCTCTTCCCCCCTCCCATTTCTGGGTAACAGATGAATGTGGCATACCTTGGCATGAATTGGATAGAGAATCTGTTAGAGAAAACACTTTAAATCCTTTCAGCATTCACTGTTGAGTCTGTACCTCCAAAAGCATTCTTGCCTTCATTGAATCAGATCATATCTGAAGACATCTGCATTTGACTGTTGATTGTAGAAAAGGAGGCACATGTTCTCTCTGTAAAATCTAAGCATAATTAGTTTAAGTTTTTTCTCTCCTATTGCACTACTGTTTAGGAGGGTTTTATAATAGTAAGAATATAATTGAAAACTTCTAGTAACAAAACATACCAAATATTTTAAAGCATACTGGGGAGGTATTACGATGTTGCTTCGCTTCCTCTATCTGTTGCATGATGGCAAACATGGTGTTTTGAAGGGACTTTGCAAGTTTTAAAGTTTATATCTTTCCTTTCATCTGATATTTTAGAAAATGGTCACACTTTTTTTTTAAACAAATGATAATGCCAAATTTTAAATTATATGTAGATAGTCACATTATATGCCTGTTTTCACAAGCTGGTCATTTTTGATAGTTGAAGTTGTTTCTCATTTAATTTCATAACAGTTTGTGGTTTCATAGGTTTTGCTGCAGTGATCATTGAATTTGCTACTGTGTTTGGAGAACCTGAAAAGTTAAGTTCAGAAAAGACTTTTATATAAGACAGTAAGGCTTTATTTGGATACTTTCTTGTGTTGCAAAATTAAGTTTTCTGTACACAAAGATCTGAATTATTTTGAGAAGCTCATTGCTTTGTTAGTTCTTATAACTTCACTGAGCAGCACAGACAATGGAAAGTGGTCAAGAAATCAGTGTATTCTAACAATGAGTTTGATTTTTCAAGTGTGAAATGTGTGTGGGACTGGAACTTGCTCAGATTTTAACTAGACAAGTTTTACCTTTTTTCAGCATTAGTAAAGTTTAAATCTGTTTATTTGTATAATAGCCTGCATTTTTATCTTTTTACTGTGTTTTAGCCCAAATTTCACCATCTTTAATGCAGCTTAGCATTGTCCAGTGTTGTTTACTATTACATTCTAAACATGCTTTAAACAAACAAAAAAAAAAAACATGTGAAGGGAATTCTGCCACAAAAATACTGGATATTAGGAGAAATTTCTTCACGGAAAGATTGGCCAAGTATTGGAACAGGCTGCCCAGAGAGGTGGTGGAGTCACCGTCCCTGGAGGTGTTCAAAAAAACGTGTAGATGTGGCACTTCGGGACATGGTTTAGTGGATATGGTGGTGTTGGGTTGACGGTTGGACTGATGATCTTAGAGATCCTTTCCAACCTTAATGATTCCTAGTTTTTACCTTCATTAAAAAATAATCCAGCCACCAAGCCAGGAAACATGAAATTATTACTCTAGCCTTAATTGTTTTAGTGGTGGACTTGGTAATGTTAGGTAAATGGTTGGACTGGATGATCCTAAAGGTCTTTTCCAACCTAAACGATTCTATGGTTCTATGAAAACTGAAATAATCAGTGCTGGGCCAGGCTACTGTAGAGTGATTAAATATTGTAAAATCATAGTGATGTTAAGTATCTCATCTTTCTGGAATGGGACTTCAACCATGCTGCTTCATTACTGATTTGGTGGGATGCATTGTGCCCAAACCACCCTGTTAAGTCACTGTCTGAGTTTGGTAAGAGGTGGAAAAGGGCGTTTTTGCAGCAAAATACTTTTCATATACATTTCCTTAATAGTGTTTAAAACTAAACATCCTTCTACATAGTTTTGGTTCAGAAAGCAGTTTGAGGCTGTTTTCTGACTGCTTTATTAAGTGTTTATTCAGAAAGAAATAACTTGAACTTGCAAGTTCAAGGACAAAGTTGTATACAGAACAATTTCAGAAGAGATAGCAAGTCGTAGTAGTTGATGACTCCTGAGCAGTAGTAACAAGTTGTGATAGTAGAATAGGTACGAGACCAAGTGTTAGATTGTGAGATGGTGAAGATACATGCTCCAGAGTAAGGGAGAAATTTGGTCTCTAACCAAAGTTCTTACACTGGCAGAACTATGTCTATAGCAGTTGAAACACAGCTCTGCCTTCACTATTTATGTTTGCTTAGAGTAGTTACAAGCTAAGGCTAGGAGTAATTTGTTCTCAGACTCATGATTACTGTTGATGTAATCATATTTTGAATCAAGACTGTTTACCATGTGAATTAGGATGCTGTTACCATAGATGTTGTAAAGTTGCCTTTGAGACCTTAGTCTTTGACGGTTTTGAAGGAATATAGGGGAAATAAGCATCCAAAAGCCTGTGGTGATCTTATGTATAGGTTCCTAATGCCTTCTTCCTCTTACTTTCCAAAGGACTTTTACCTGTAGATTCACACACTTAAGAGTACATTCTGTAGAAACTGGAAAATCGGGGCATGGTGAGAAGAGAATCTGCTGACTAGAAAGGATCCCACTTACTGAGTACTACTCAGTAGTAATTCCTTCTTTACCAGAGGTTTGCTAGCAGTAGTTCTGGAGGCTGACTCCAGGCTTGATCTGTGTGTGTAAGAGAGAAAAACTGAACTTGAGAGGAAGAAATAAGTCAAGACTTACAAGATCTTAGGTTTGTGAATTTCTACTGTAGTTAGCACCATTTCGAGGCACAAATTTAAGGCCCTGCTAATGTATTTTTTTTAAACCTATTCAGTAAAATGTATACCCAAGCAATGTTTTTGTACTTCTTTGGTTACAAGAGTTGTGGGTGCTAATGTTTTTGTTCTGTGTTTTTCCATGGTTTTCATGAGTAACGCCTATAGAATGATTGCCTAATAAAGTTCTGTGTATTAGCAGACTAGTATTTGAATCACTAGGAAGTTTTGAGACTTGTTAAAGGTTCAACAGCATATTATTGGTATGGTACAAATAAGAGCTCAGTAGTCAAATATTGGAGAAAAGAATGAGGCTTACCTCTGATCTTTAGTTTGACCTAGCATTTCATCCTGATAGTGGTATTCTGCTAGGACAGTAGCAAAAGGTTGGGACAGACCAGACAGAAGGTGAAGGATACTTTTAGGAAAGAGAAACAATGAAGGTGGTGTCTTTAAAAAAATAATAATAAAATAAAATCTGAGGATAACTGAACAAATTTGGTATCTTAAAAAAATTCTGGACAAAAAGATATAACAAGTAGGTATCACTGGACGTTGTAAAGGCCAGACTGGCAACAGTTTAATCTGGGTAGAAATACTGTGTAGCTGAGTTTAGAGATAGCCCTTTATATGCAAGTGTGAAGTTGATAATTATATGTAGGAGGAACATCTAGTACTGCCTCAAAAGCAGAACATTTACTGTATGTGTTGATGCTGACTCAAAGGAAGAAAACACTTAGACTCTCTGGTTCTTGACAGGACGTCAGAGTTCTAAAGTTTTTCAACTTGCACATGAATGTTATAAATAAAACTCCAGCAGGAAAAAGCATTTTACTAAGAGTTATCTCTCATTTTTTAAAGGGCTGTCTAATTATAAAGACTTAACTTGAATCTCCTGAATTCACAAATTGAGAACAGGAATTAAAGCTGATGATATTTCATGCTAAAAAGGGAAATGTGTTTTGAACTTGCATTCTTCAACTTCTTTTATGCTGTATTGGCAGTCTTGCAAAACTGTACTTGCCCACTGTGATTAGTGGGATCTTTAATTGCTCACAATTAAAGTCCTTGTTGGTAGGAGATGCTGATAATTGTTAGAAGACCAGACAGAAAAACATTTTCCATTTTGCGAGGCTGATGAATACAAGTGCATTAACATGAATTAATTGGTACTGTAGGAAGTAGTAGCATGCCAGTAATTAACTTGTATGTCTTCTTCCATTTAAGGTATCTAGTGGATAGTCGCTGGTTCAAACAGTGGAAAAAATATGTTGGTTTTGACAGCTGGGACAAATACCAGATGGGAGATCAGAATGTGTACCCTGGTCCTATTGATAATTCTGGACTTCTCAAAGGTAACTGCTTCTGATTGTTTAATAAGCCAATACTAACACTGAGTGCAAATTTGTCACAGATTGTTCATCTTTTGTAGCTGATAGTGTAAATGAATCTCAGCATATATGAGGGTGAAGCTTTTTGTTTGTTTGTGTTCAGACTGTGTCAAGGGAACTGGAATAGATATCCCTAACAAATTACAATGTTATAAATCAAATTATTGGAACTTCTTTGCAATGGTAACAGAATATTTAATAATGTACAAATTACTGGTTCATAATGATATTTTGGGATACCTTGTGAGTTGAAATTTAGTCAAGCTGACAAATAGCTAGCCTGAGTTCACTAAGATTTTTTTTCCTTTTTTTTTAGCTTAACTAAATTCGTAGATTTAAAATAACCTTTTTAAGTTGAACTCTAAAATTTCTTTTTATAAATGAGCCCCAAGCCCTTACTTTGATTCTGGAACAATTGAAGAAGAGGTATTATGTAGTTCAGTGATAATATAAAGTGGTTTGAAATGATAGAGGATAATTTCCTAATTTTTTATGTTCTTCTAAGTATGGTTAAACTCTGTCACTGTTATAATTACTCAGGTCTGACTGACTTTTGCTGAACTGTAGTCAGATTTGTGGGCACAAGTCTCAGAATACCTTCCCAGATATTTTAATCTTTAGGTCAAATTCTATATTTAATGGCCAGTATTGAAATACCATTAGAGCTGTTAATATTTAATCTGCAAAATCTAGTGGATACAAAATCTAGCAGATAATTGGTTTCCTTCTTTACAGTTACAGATAATGTAATAGTACTGCATAATTTGTTTGCACGTAGTAATATAAATTTTTACAACTTCATGGGGTTTATGATGAACTCTGACTTTCTTAATTCAAAACTTCTCAACTGTAATTAGTATCTCATTATTTTACAAGTTAAATGTTAAAGATGATTGCCTCTTTCATAGGGCTTGTCATACCATGTTGCACTAGTTGTCAGTGTGAGTGAGTGTGCATGTCTCAGTGACTAGTATCAGTGCCTTTGAAGAAGGTGCTATATTGTCATATTGTCATGGTTTAGCCCCAGCCAGCAACTCAGCACCACGCAGCCGCTCGCTCACTCCCCCTACCCCGATGGGATGGGGCAGAGAATCGGAGGAGTAAGAGTGAGAAACACTCCTGGGTTGAGATAAGAACAGTTTAATAATTGAAATACAGTAAAATTGTAATGATGATGATGATAATAATAATATAATAATCATGATAGTAACAATATACAAAGCAAGTGATGCACAATGCAATTGCTCACCACCCGCCGACCGATACCCAGACAGTTCCCGAGCAGCGATCGCTGCTCCCCGGCCAACCGCCCCCCGGTTTCTATACTGAGCATGACGTCATATGGTATGGAATAGCCCTTTGGTCAGTTTGGATCAACTATTCTGGCTGTGCCCCCTCCCAGTTTCTTGTGCACCTGGCAGAGCATGGGAAGCTGAAAAGTCCTTGACTGGCATAAGCAGTACTCAGCAACAACTAAACCATCAGTGTGTTATCAACATTCTTCTCATCCTAAATCCAAAACACAGCACTATGCCTGCTACTAAGAAGAAAATTAACTCTATCCCAGCTGAAACCAGGACACCTATGCATCTATATGTTCTCTTCCATCCACAAACTTAAAGGTCTTTTTGCTCCAGGTGAGCGATGTGTTTTCTTTTTTGAAATGTGAGGATCTAGATCTTTTGTACATTCTTGTAGTAAATCTTGCAGTGAGGCAGGCATATTCAGGTGATACTTTTTTTTCAGTTGAAATCAGTTGTAGCAAGATCTTTTTATCCTCAGTGAGGCAGCATCAGCTTATTGTCTCTTCTGTTTACCCACTTAAAAAAAAAAAAGTTATTTCTAGATGTGCAAAGGACTGTGTTAGTTGATCTGTATTGTTTATAACTTTATATACATGTTCAGGTTCTGTTTAAAGTTACTGTAGATATGAAGCCTGTATTAGGGTTAGCTGTCCAAATCTAAAGTCATGTTAGCCGGTTTGCTAAAAGCTCCTGAAAACCTGTATTCTATCGTTTCGACACTGCCAGTACCCCTTTCAAAATAAACAGAGCATCAGGGTTTATAAACTTCACTTTTTGCTCATTCATGGTTCTAAAACTATGGCTCTGCATTGGCAGTGATACCGTGCATCCAATTACTGTCTGATATGTACTGTTCCTGTGTGAAGGCAGTTTTAAAATGAAGGGCATTAGTGCTCAGCAGCTAGTAGCTGTCTCCTTCACCTGCTGCAAAGCAGCAACCTTCTGTACTAGTTTTCCTATGTAGCATAAATTGAACCTGAAAATGCTTGGGTGTTAATCCTGTCTTTGGCACGTAGTATGCGCTAGTTGCTCTCATACTGCTCTCCTTAAGTGTTAAGTCTGAAAATTTGCATCTCATTTAAAGAATAAAATACTCTAAAATGGGCATGCTTTTTCAGATGTTCTGCAGTGTAATGCAGTGATAAGGAAAACTCTTATTAAATTCAGGAAAGACTGATTCCAGGAAACTGGAGCAGTATGTTGTGCTTATGTTACTTAAACACTGCTCCCTTATTTCCAGAACATTTGGATGAAGTGAGAGCAGTGAAAAGTAACAGGTAGAGATTTCAGTTATTCTCAACATATGCAAAAAATGTTGTTGAATGTAATGGAATGCACACATGCCATCTTCAAAAGGAGATATATAGTCAACTTCAAATTAGCAAAGCAAACACAAGAAAGTAGTTGTTCAGAATAGCTGATTGTTCATCACAGAAAACAGTGTTGCATATGAGGGACTGAGTTGTCGGAGTCAGGGAACTTCTTTGATGGAATAAGGTTCTGAAAAAATTATACTAGAAGATATGTTGCAGGTTTTAGAAAGACAGAATGGAATGCAAATTATATCTTCTCACTATAAACTGCTGTAGCAATATCGGGTCAGACCAGAAACACAGTATGAACCTTTTAAAGAGATACGTGGACCTGAAGATATGTTTGTGGATTTCTTCCTGCACTTTACTCCCAGTTGGAGCACCACCATATGCATAGTGTTGAGTAAGAATTGATAGTGCATGTCGTGAATTATTTCAGCAAATATTTCTTGTATGTAGCTCCTGAATATAGAGTTTTTTCCTAATCAGTCAAGACAGTTTTGAACCAAAATTTGACTCTTGAAAATTGTTACTTTTACAGTTAGGATGAAACAGCCTGAGGGGAAAAAAAGGAAAGTACCTTCTAAACAGGTGCATTGATTGAAGTCTCGTTTATTAGGTCACATTAATTTTATTTATCTCCATGAAGAACTGAATTCTTATTTACCTCTATGTTCACTGAGATGTTCGTGTGAAATTCCATTTTACTTTTTGCTGGAGAAATGTATGTACTGTGACTCCCAAAGTGGAATCCAAAGTCTGAGGTGGTTGCTCTCATGTTTTTTCTTGCTAAAATTGCAACAAATACTTTGGCTATTTCTGAACTTGATTATCTCCTCTTTCTAAAATAACTTCATAATTCTAATACTTACCTGGATGTATTTTGGTTTTTTTGTTGTTGTTAGGGGTTTTTTGTTTAGCTGTTCCTACTAAGTCACTTATGATTTTTATTGGAGAAAATGCATGCAAACCATATTGTACCTTCTTGACTGCATGAAGTCACATCTAAACTGCATGGATTGCATATTATGGAAACTACCTTTTTGCCATCTCTGAACAGCTAATGGTAGTAACAAATACTGCACACTTAAAATACATGAACTGAGAACAATATGCATCTCCCATGTTTTGCTTACACATCAAGGTACTTAGCTGGAGAAGACGGAGTCAGCACCAGTGATAAGGTAATAGGAGCAGAAGGTGGCTGTGCATCCTTCTTTGCCTATATTTTCACCATGTGGGTGATTAAAGGAAAGAACATTGCTTTTTTTCCCTTAAAATCACAAACCCTTTAAACCAACTGAAGGTGTAGCAAGTGCAGGTAGAGTAGGGAGATTTCTAGAGTCTTGATAAGCTGAATCTTGTTTACTCTTCCCACCAGGAAGTGAACATATCTCTTAAATGTCCTCAGCAGTGTTGCCCTCCTACAGAAAAGGTCATGTTGAAACATGTTTTGTTAAATTCTTACACAGAAAAAAAAAAAAGAATAGTTGTTATTATTAAAGGACCTTTAATTTTTAAGCGTGCATTTTTTGATGCTCAAGATAATTTTTTTTAATTGAAATCACATTATGCTGCGTTCGCTCAGTCTCTACAAAGGAGAAACAAGTACAGAAATAAAATGAAATAAGGGGACCTTAGCGCTTTTCACATGCGAATAGTGCATACTTATGTTTGTCCTTGCAGAAAAATGAAGGTAACAGTATTAATTTTGCTTAGAAGTATTACTTAAAAATAAATCCAAGAGGAAGGCCAATACCTGAAGCAATTTGAGATTATTTAAGGTTACTTTTATGCTCAGTTTTAATTGTGCAGTGTAATTCTGCAGTTCATTCACATAGGACAATGAAAATAAATAGACTATATTTATTACAGTCTATTTATTCTTTATACATAGTCTGTTTATTTTCATACTTCATTAAGTTTGTCATCCTGATTCATTCTCTGGAGATGAATGTGTGGGTGTCCCTGTTTGATCTCCCTCTGTACAGAGGGATGTTTGCTGGCCTGTAGCTGGGTACTACCAAATGGAAAGACAGCTGTCATAATTGTCTGAGGCTCACCGTGGCTCAGATCTGGAATCACTTCTTACACATATAGGATAGCTGCTATCTTACTACTGTAATAAGGATTGAACCAAAGCTAAAACCATGCTATTTCTGTAAAGAGGTTGCCAAGTTGTACTTCTTTCAAGTGCTGCATCTCATAGTCCTGTGAAGAATTTTGTAGGGACTATGTTTCCAGAGCACGTAGGATCCTTTAAGTAGGAGGGTTGTACCATGTTATTTTCCCACTCTGACATGGAGTGAATTACTTGGAACTTGGTCATGAATCTACTGTAACTACCCATTCCTGCATTTTCAGTGAAGGGTGCAACTGTAGCATGAAATGGAAGTATCCATGGTGATGTGGGAATATGTGCGAAGTTGGCGGAGAAATGGATTGGTTTCTCTGAAGGCTATGATGGTGTGTGATAACAAGCTAGGCGCTTATGATTGCATGAGGATATGGAGTTCTCACTTGGGTTCCTGAGTGCAGGAATACTACCTGTAATAGGTGTGCTATGCGTGAACTGGATAGCTTGCCTAAATAGTTTCAGAAGAGTTTTGCTTTGAACATCATAGTGCTGATAACATAACTATGACTCGGAAAATATTTTGTTTGCTATTTATATGAAAAACGTTATGTTAAAACCTCAAGTAACAGAATTACACTGTTCAAGTAAAAATATCTTTCTCTTATAGATGGTGATTCTCAGTCTCTCAAGGAACATCTCATTGATGAGCTGGACTACATCCTTTTGCCAACTGAAGGCTGGAATAGGCTAGTTAGCTGGTACACACTGATGGAAGGTCAAGAGCCAATAGCACGCAAGGTAATCTTAAATTACCTACTGGGATTAATATGATTCAGATATAGTCCTGCAAATATGCAGGAGTTGCACAGGAATTTATTAGAAGATTATAAGTCGTGGCCTATGATAATCATATAGACAACTCCTGCTTTAGTTGCTTTTAGATATCTAGTTTTTATTCACATTTTAGAGGCTTAAGTTTTTAATATTGAGAAAGGAGGATGCAAAGAATATAATACTTTTTTTTTTCTGAAAGTAAGCCCTCTAATATTTCAAGAACTTGCTTTAGAAGCTTGTAAGTCTATAATGCAAATGATTTTGTAATTAAGTATAAAACCCTAAAACTGTGTTGACTATATTAGTGAAAAGCCTAGCTCTAATAATGTTAATACTGGCAGAGTAATTGGTAGTTCCTTTTCTGATAAGCACAGTCTTCTGTGTTCAGCAGTTTGCTAAGGGAGTTTTTTCTTTAAGCAAAAAGCTTACCTCAACACAAGTAGTAGTCCGTGGTATGGTGGATACTGTGGCCCTCCGTCAGTATGAGATACTTAAAAATTAACATCTTTGAATGTGAATTTTTGTTTGCTCCAGCACATACCATCCTTATTAGTAAGGTGCTATAACAATTTACAGCTTATTGATCATACAGTCTTTTTTGTTTGTATTATTTCTTAAGATTTTTTAGGTTAGTGATTACAGTTGCATCCTCATGGGACTGAATTACTTAAGTTTTAAAATACATTTTGGTATGTTTGCCATTTCTAAATTGACCATTGGGCGTATTCTTTCAGTTACAGGGATCTTTATTTTAATTCCTGAAAAACTGCTGAAAGAATATTATGATTAGAATTTAGTTTGATATGACTTCTGGTATAATATAACTTTTTTTTCCTCCTATGACATGAGTATGGTCTAACTGCATACATGCTGGCCACTTACTTTGAAGTGCATTCCTCTCAAACAAATGGCAGATTTAGCTATAGAAGAAATTTTGTGTCTTCAAGATTCATTTGGTCAGCAATAGAAGTAGTTTGTTGGGTTTTTTTTTTTTTAACATTCTCTTTAATACAATGAAAGATATTTTTAAAGAGACATCCCTGGAATGTCTCTTTCTTTTTCTCTAGTCCTGTAAGAGCTGAAATCCATTAAAATGCCTCTACTTCTTTAAAGATGTATCTGTTATCAGCTTGTTACTGTTTTTGCTGAAGATGGATTTCAGCAAACTGAATGCTCTTCCATCATTGTGGTAAAGTAAACATTCTGTAATCTTTTCACTTTGGGGGGAAAATGGAAAGAGAGAGAAGGAAAATTAGAGTAACTTGTGTTCTACTTGGAAGGAACTAACTGGAAAAATACATGGAGTGAGTGGCCAGGTGAACTAGCATAGCTTCTTTATTTTCTGCCAATATGAACAGTAGTTATCCTCTGAGATGCATATTCCATTTCAGAATTTTTAGTGTCAGTTTTATTCTCAGAAATGCCTTAGCCATACTGTACAGTTTTGTTTACTGCAACTATTTTGTTGTTACTGTAGTAGCTGAAAACCCTACTAAGCTGCTCAAATTAAGATGCATTTTTGTTTAAATGTCGTGGTTGGCAGTCATTAAAGCTAAGGCAAACTACTGAACAGCAATGAAGTCATTCACTAATTTTTTTTTTCCTATGGTACATAAATACAAGTTATATTTGTACAGCAGATAGCAGATCTCTCCTAGCAATTAGCTGGTGGCTTTTTTTTTTTACCGTATTTGTTAGATGTGTCACATATCAGGCCAATGGTTATTTTTGGAACAGTCTACATGACTAAGTACTGCAGTTACACTTTGGAAGATCAAAGGGAAAAACATTTAAGAGGTGACCCTGAATTATTTTTTTCTACATTTTACTTTTACAAAAAAAAATTCCTGTATACTTAAGTATTTTGTAATAGATGTTACAAAAATGAACATAAAATAAACAACTGTAATGAGTAGGTGAAATTTCAAATGAATGTATTAATTATCAGAATATAAGTGGAAAGTTTGTAGGTTTTGTTTAAAAATGTGATATCCAGATTTTATTAGTATGTATTCTGGTTTTGATAAGTGTTCTTTAACTGTGAAAACTAGTTCTTTATGTTTTGAGGAAGTAGCATACAATGAATGTATTTTGAAATGAAAATAACTTTTGGTGTTTTTTATCTTTTGATGAAGTATCTTATCTTTTGGTTAAGTGTGCCTATTTGTGATTTCCACTGTACTTAACAGTCTGAAACTCATGGTGGTGTTATACACAGGTAAGACATCATCATCATGGAAAAAAATTACTTTTTAGTTTACTGTATTTCTAAAAAGTTACAGGAGAATTTTAGTTCTAATTTTTGTCATTTATTAAGTGTCTTACATTCTCCGAACTTCAGTTTCTTGAAAAGTTCTCAAAAATATTTTGAAGTGTGTATATGAAAACATATTTGGACTGATACCTGATCCCAATCTGTTTTTCAGGTCGTTGAACAGGGTATGTTTGTAAAGCACTGCAAAGTAGAAGTATATCTAACAGAATTGAAGCTTTGTGAAAATGGAAATATGAACAATGTTGTCACACGACGATTTAGTAAAGCTGATACAATAGGTATGCACAACTTTTTAAAAATATATGATTGTTACTTGTTTAAATAGTACTTGGTAGCAAGTTCTCAATAAATAAGTCTCTAGGTAAAATGATAGATGGGTGTTGTAAGCATTAAAAAGGATGGGACTCATCTTGTTTAGGTCAAAATTGAAAGTTAAATTATTTGGAATATTTAGGATTTTTAATACAATTTTAAAAAAATAATTGTGCATTTTATTATCTAGACATCTGTGTTAACCCCAGAGGTTTGCGCTGTTCAGGAAGTGAACAGTGTGATGGTTTTCATTATCTTTATTGGATTCCATAGTACTTTTTCTTGGCTTTTGGTGTATAAGAAATATATTTTTGTCATGTGTTTCCATTCATGTTTTTCATTAGCCAACACTTTTTAGTCATAAAGAGAAGGGTATATTACAAAACATGAGAATTAATTGAATTTATAAATTAATGGCTAAAGGTGACCTACAAAGGCAGTATTCTTTGGGTTGTGAAGTGGCAGGCCAGGCACAATCTTTTATTGTAACTGAGTCCTGTCTCAAACCTTTAACTTACCTTTATTTGTAGTTATTTTGCGTGCTCTTCAAGCATTGTGTCATTGTTTGAAAACATATTTTGATAACATATTTGTCTCTGAAAATAACAGAACATACGCAAAGATATAAACTCAATTTTTGGTGTATTTGTGCATGTGTGTCTGAGATAAGAGTCCTTCAATCAGCTGTATTTGTGCAGTTAGAATTGTAGTTTATGCCCTTGGCACTTTATGCCCTGTCATTACTCTTTGTTTGCATTCTTTGACAACAATGTAGTTTTTCTCAGGTTTTGCTTCTCTTTATATTATGGGTAGTGACTTACACTTGCTACCCTTTAATTCTTCGCAGATTGCTTGCTTTAAAAACAGAATCATTTTACTATGTTAAATTTTAGTCTTTAAGTTAAACACGTAGTCATCTGCTTGTATTAGAATAAACACTTAAAAATTATGAAGTTTGTCCTTGAAACAAGTCTCCAATGTTTTATGTTAATTGGACTTCTTGTGATCTGGTTTAACTTGGGAAGATGTATTTCATTATTCTCTAAGCAAACCCAGAAACTTAGAAAAAACAATTTAACATTATCCTTCCCTGAGGACCAAATACAAGCTATGTTGCAGCTATACTGAATTTAATTGTATCATTGGAATCATAGGTAATGGATGAATTTCTGATACTTTCTTTCTCTAGTCAGAGGCAGGGCATTTTGGAATGACTGTTACTTGGAGGTGTATCCATTTTTTCTTAGCAGAGAGAGAATTGGAATTACGACAAAATTGTCATAAAGGGTAATGAGAAACAGTCAGGCTCACTGGTAACCCCTTTCCAGACACTGGCCTTATTTGCTTTCCTGAGATGTGGATGACATGCTCTTGGAAGCCTTAAAAACATGCCCTTCCTGAAACTGAAGCTTCTTATGCAGAGCACCAAGCAGGGCCATCCTAGCCAGGACTTCCGAAAGAGTTTGTATCTTAGAAGAAGAGCTAGAAAAATTAAAACTACTTTTAAGAGTGAAAAAATAACTGATCCCTGAGGTTTTTCTCTTATCACCCATTAATAAGAAGGTGATTTTTCTTTTTTCCCCCCTGTCCTTACCTTAAATGTATTTAAGGTAGTTCTGGAATTCATCAAATATATAGCAGAGATGCTCATTATATCAATAAATAATATGCAAGCGGAATCTTACAGAATCTTGATGATTTTTCACCCTTCCTTGTATATGCCAGTATGGGATGCATTTCATTATAGTTGCAGAAGACTTGTAGTACAAAAGAGTCAATATCAGTGCCACTGAAGTGTGTGGACAGACATAAGGTACTAGGTCTTTTCAAGAAGTTTTAATTTTTGTACCCACCATTATTGATTATGTAATTTACTGCCCTCAAAAGATTAGTACAAGACCTTCCTTAATTCACATAAACAGAGAAAGTTTTGGAGCGTCTTAAATATTCTAAGCACAATATAATTTTCACCTACCAGTCTTCAAATGTGTGTTATTCCTGGAATACCTTTGCTTTTCCAATCAAATGGAAACAAGGCTAAGCTGTATGTGAATAAGTTAGTACAAGGTAGGAAAAAATAATTATAAAGGGCAGACCTAATAATGACAGTCATTTTCTTGGGGTGGTACCGGACAAATCTGTTGTGTTCTTTGGACCTTCTTGGGAATCTCCTACAATTGAGGACTCTCACCTTGGAGGCAGTGCCTGTTAACTTTGAGACTGATTGGCAACTAACTCTTTTTGAGGAAGTGGGAGTGATTTTTTAGTTCTAAAAAGAAAATGAGCTAGACAATAGATGTAGTTCAGGCAGCATTTCAGTCTAGTTATTGTTGCTGATCGTAGAGAGCATCAGGGCCTCTGAGTGAAAATGAGTTAATGATCCATTCAGGAGTCTTAATCATCTGAAAGTATGATAAAACTAAGTCATCAGCTAATGTATAGGCCTTTTCTACCTTTATTACAAACCACAAAATGACAGAAAGACTCTGTCATGCATGAATAGGAGTCAGATTGTGTCTGCAATGCCATAAAACAATTCCAAAACTGAGCTGATAAACTTTGTGGAAGATTACACCAGTGGCTCTGCATCTAATGGACTTTTGGACTTTTCCTAGCAAATTATCTTGGCAAATGGCTTTGATTCATCCTTCCCTTTAATTTGCTGCAGAATACAAGAATGTAAAACTTGCCACCCTTGAGGACAGTCTATTATGGGATCTGTGATTAGCCTTTCCCTTCTTTAGGAAGCTGGGATTACTGTTTCATAATACAGATAACATCTTACTACAGTTTCCTTTAGCCAGTATTTGTGATAGCACTAGCCTTTAGGAGCCAGGGTGTACTTGTATTAGGACCCACTGACGTTCTCCAGCATCTCATCAAGACTCTTCCGTGTAGTCTTGCAAAATAGTACTTAAATCATGCAGCCTTTTTGTTGGAGGAGCTATCTGATTTTTAACGATATAGGATATATCCTACATAGGATCCATAACCTTTAACTCTCAAATTGAACTATCTCAAGTTGTGGCTGTATAGCTGATAGAGTGAGAGGCACCTTTAAAGGGCAGCTCTTCCTGTCTCTTTTAGACATCGTCCTAGTACTAATCATCTCATATGTGGGATGAGTATAATACTACTAGAGGAGAACCCTGTACACAATATGCCTCAGACTATACCTCTTTGAATGTAATGTTTTCATTTATGGAATAAAACAGCCACTTTCACTTCAGATCATAAGCCAGCACTGCAGTGATGCTTGCTGGGGGGCAGAGGGAAGAATTACAAAGTGTGCATTGGTTACATTCATGGAAGTATGCAAAAGAACCTCAGTTTCACAGTATCAAAATTAGCAGAATAGTCAAGTGGAACATGCTCTTCCCAGAGTCTTGGACATAAAGTGTAGTCATCTGATAGGATTGGTGCTTCCTGTCTCATAACAGTTCTGTTAGTGAAACTGGAATATGTTAAAAATTAACATAATAAATGTTAGCTTAGTACTTGAAAAGAATATGAGCTGCAATGCTCAAATAATTAATTGTCATGGTGTTAATGGCATGATGAAAAATTATCTTTTGTAAATTCTTTTAGTGAAAGTCATTGATAAATCTGGATTTTTTTTTAAGATTGTTGCTGTCTAGTTTCATTCTTACATTCAAATACAGTTATTTGAAATAATTGTTTCAGAATTTATTCTGACAGTACATGATTTTTTTTAAAAAGGTCACAAGTCAAGTAACAGCCTATTGCCTTGTTTATAGCACCTACCTTGCCTACATATCATCTCTATTACGGAAACAGATGATCCAGTCTAACACTTGCTTTCATACTAAAATGTGTGTTAACTAGTATAGAAGGAAATTGTATTCAGTTGTCTACAATATCTACAAACATTATATTGGCCAGTTGTCATGCATTTCATAAGCCAATGGCTGGATTGTTAAAGGTACTTTTAAGCTTCAGGACTCATTTTGACTTTTTATATTTAACATAGCGGAAGAGAAAATAATAATCTCAAGTAAAAGGGAGCAAGGGGAATGTTAGGGGAGCTGACAGACTGGTGTTTTATCCTGAGACTTCAGGGGAATGTCTCTCAAACAGCTTACAGTGCCCATTTTTATAATTGTGTTTTCAGTGATCATCAGGAATAAACTGTACGTTTCTTGACTCCTGTTTTGGTTTCTGTGTTAGCTGTTATGAGACTTGGCTTCCATGGGGCTTTATGAGTGTACCAATTAAAAAGAAAAATCTTAAGTGAGGTTGCTGTGGTATAGCACTGTACATACTAGTTCAAATTAAAGAACTCTTTAATAAATTCTACTTTTGCGTAAGGAGAATTAACTTCTTAAATTTCAGTTGTAGACAATAGTTATACTAGCTAAAAAATATGTAACACTGATTATATTTGTGGCAGGCAGAGTAGGAGCTGGTAGACCTTTTTATGGTAAATCTTTCAGGGATGTAAAATCTTTCATCATCCTTTTAAAATAAATTTATGCATTTCAGTTTTACAGAGTAGTCTTTAATTTCTGTGAGTGTGTAAATTAAACTTTATGCATATATACTGTGGTTAGTGCTTATTGCACTGGAATATGGGTAGTAGAAGAGTGAAAACCAAGAAGGGTTTGATTTAGGGAGAGGAACAGAATGACTTGCACTCCCTGCACCTGGTTTTGCTGCCAGTCTTGCTTCTAATCATTCCCTACCCACCCACACTCCTGTGTTACCACAGTCTGAGAAATTAGTAGATGGGTACCTAGGTACCTCCTGTCATCTGTTATTTATCTACTTGTCTTTATTTGGTCTGCTTTGCTAAGAGATTCAGGAGGGAATAAAATAGTCCTTTGACTGTTTGCCTTTTAAAGGCAAGCGAACTAGCAACTTCCTGGTTGTCCTACAGCATGATGTAGTTGCACGGCTATTTCTACAGTTTCATTCATATTTTGAATATAAGAAAAGAGTAGGTGATTCTGATGCTTTATCTGGCCTTATACTGTTTATGTAGTGAAATGCCAAACTTGTGTTCTCTCCCTTTCAAAACAGATACAATTGAAAAAGAGATAAGAAAAATCTTCAATATTCCAGGTGAAAAAGAGACCAGATTGTGGAACAAATACATGAGTAATACTTTTGAACCTTTGAATAAACCAGACAGTACCATACAGGATGCTGGTTTATACCAGGGACAGGTACAGTGTAATCTTATTTCCTTTTTTTATATGTTTATTTTTTTGCTCATGAAAATGTAGCTATACCCAATGAATTCTCCTTCTTTTTAAATGAAAATTGCCTCCTAATAGATTGTGTTAGGGGTAGAGGATTTTATAAACAAATTCATCAAAGTAAAAGTAGTCTTTGAGTGTATTTTCAGGATTAAAGATGAGTTTAACTCTCCTGGTGAATTGAAAGTAAATGAATGTAACATTTCTGACTTGAATTTGGTAAAACCTGAAATAAAAAAATATTGCTAGGATTTGGGATATGTTCCTATAATTAAACTCAAAATTTGAAGAACTTTTTAGGTACTCTTAGAGTAATGTCTTCTACTCAAATTCCACTGTCCAGATTTCAGAAAGAAAATAAGAAAAAATGAAAATATTTCAGAGAAGAACTATAGAAACAAAAGAGCTTGAAAACCTGCTTCAGTGTGAGACTATGTCATCACTTTGAAGTCCCTTTATGGGAGGATTTCTTCTAAGACAATTTTTTTCCCTTTCCAGATAAATATAAAGAACAAGTATTGGATGTTAAAGCTACACAAATATAAATGTGAACTGATTGAACAATTTCATGGTTAAAATACCTTTCCAGATTATTGCATTGATTCTTTAGTCTTCAGATAGAGTTGGATGTTTTTTCAACAGCTGTAGTTCCTGCTGTTGTGCTACAAATATGAATGGATGCGATTTGATGGCAGTAATTGTAGGCAAGGTTATATTGAAGTATTTCCTTTTGCCTTGAAATACTTGACTCTAACTTACTTACCAGCACTATTTATGCTGTGCTTCAGTTTTCTTTTGTGGCATGGAAGGTAAGTAATCAGTGCACTAAAATAACAGCTTGAACTATTGTGCCCTTTAGCTTTATGCTGCATGCACTTAAACCCTCACACAGGTAATTTTAACAATGCAGAGGTCCTGCTGGAAGAGCCCACATCTCCCATAAAAGATTTGCGTCACAGATGTAACTTGCAAATTGCCTCTATCCCAGTGAAACATTAACTGTGAAGCAAGCATGGTCTAATATAGCCATAAAAAGATCTCTAGGTGACATCTGTACTTTCAGCAAAACAAATATTGTTCAAAACCGAGTTTAACCATGGTTTTTGAAAATGCTAAATGTCATGGTAGACCATGTGTGTTTGGTCAGTTGCACTTGCTGACACACAAGGTTGTTATTTTTCTTGCTGAGCCTCCTAATCTAATAATAGTTATTCTGACTATTATAGTCTATCTAACCCAATAGTTATTTTTTTACGGCATAATTCTGAACTATGTATGTGATTGAGTAAATTAAAGTTTTGAATTTATCAGTTGGTTTCTGAAGTGAACCTTTAGGGGTTCCATTGAACTCTTCAGTCTAAATCTTCCTTTTATTTAATAGTCTCTCAGAGCCAATGGAAAGAAATACGGCAGAATCTGTCTTACAGCATTCATGACCAAAGATAGCAGACTACTCTTTTCCAGATAGAAAGCTGGTCATGATAGAAAGCTAGTTTTCAATGTCATGTCTCAGTGTATTCAGACTGATAATGTGGTTACATCTTCAAGTGGCAGCATGACTTACGTATAAGGTTTTGAGCATAAGTACATATGTGAATGTATGTCATTGTGTAGACACATACAGGCATAGCATGGCAGTTAATTAGCATCCTGAAGCATCAGTGTGCAGTTATGCAGAATTAGTTGCATTGGAAGTTAAGAGTTAGATTCAGCTTAAATATTGGAGTCTAGTTACCGTTTCAAATGATCTGGCTATCCCAGCTGTCAGTCCAGAAAGGCATGAGCTTTTTGTAGGTCCTGTGTCATATCTGCCAGCGTAGGGCAGATACCTCAAATACCAAAAGGCGTTTCAAATGGCACTTGATGCCTGTGTTTAGGACTGAGTGTTCTGTACTCCCTTTTGTACCAATAACAACTTGAATGAAATTAATTTCATTAGCCAACTGTCCCATTGGAAAATTAATACTGGATTAATACTTCTGCAAAAAATACAGGAGTAGCCAGACAGGTATGATTTTAAGGCTATCAAGGCAGAAAATAGTTTGGGTTTGTTTTTTTTTTTTTTTCCTACTGATCTGTGTTGTGTGTGAGGCAAAATTCCTTCAGGAATATCCCTTCTTTAACAGGGCTGTTGTATAGGCATGTGATTTCTATAGATTCATAGATGCTGTTTAGACATTGCAGGTCATCTTTTGACCTCTTTGAGAGGCAAGGTCTTGCCATTTTATCCATGGATTGTTGAGATACAGAAATACTAACTGGCTTGCCCAAGTTGCACAAATTAAGATGTGGGGAGAAAAAAGTAGAGCCAGAGGAAGGTGCAGTGTAATTGAATGGAGTATTCTCAGGGAATAGTAACTTAAACATCAGTCTTTTCCATCTCAATCACGTGTCAGCAAATCTATTAAACAGGTTGGAACAGAAAGCAATCTATTGATATTTGTATTTCAGTTTTCTTATTACACTTTTTGTGGTAGGTACTGGTGATAGAACAGAAGAATGAGGATGGAACATGGCCAAGAGGTCCTTCAACCCCTAAGTAAGTTGTGAATTTAAGTCATGTTATTCACTATAGCTTAACTATTTTTACACGTTAGTTCGCTTAAAAAAAAAAAATTGTTTTGAAAGTGGCATTTTATTTTGAAAATGGGCCTTCAGATGTTTTAGCTGAAAATATGCCAAATAGTGTATTTGTTATAAGTGCTGCACATTGTAGAACGTGACATAATACTGGTGAATTCCTGCATATACGTGGCTTAATTTTGTTGATTTCAGCCAGTGATATGCATTATCCTGCTTAAAAATAGGAAAAAAGTCCATAGTAGAAAACTGTAAAACTTGGTTTATTTTATTTAGATATCTGTTTCAAAGCATAGTGTATCTGTTACGAGAATACAGATACATGTATTTTATCAGTATTTTTCTTATATGTAAAATGTTTTCATGGGTAGCTTGTCCTTTTATCTCCAGAGCACAGTATTTACACATAAACGTTATTTAAATTGCAGTCTACATTACCAGCATGTTGTTTTTCTTCTTTGTTGGGCTGTCATCAATTAACAGAGTATGATGTTCTTTTTTTCTGTTCTTCCTGCTGCCATTATCAACAGCACCTTGATAATGGCAAGTGAGTAGAAAGACTTGAGTGTGTTTTTTCTCATTTAGATGGATAATTTTTTTTAATATTGTTTCCAGAATCTGAATCATGTTCTGTTGGTTCTGAAGAACGGTCAGGACTAGTTCCTAGTAAACTAACACAATCTCAGCCTTACAAAGAGGCTTAACTGTTTTTTCTGTTTGTTGGCTGGTTCTTGAGCATATCTTTCACAAAAAGTTCTTTTAAGTTCCTCTTACTGCTTTTGATATTCTGCATTCGTGTAATTGAAGTTCACTTTGGTTTAAAACATTTTTATAGTATCATTGTTTATCATTTGAAGGACAGAGATTCTTTATCTTTGGTGCTTTATCTCAAGCACTTTTATTAGGACCACTAGCTTTTATTAAGTTGTTTAATGAAGTCTGGGTTCAATTGAGGCTTAGTATGAACAGTATAATCTTGCTTAGCAAGATGTTATGACACAAAGAATCGAGGATGTAGAGCAGCAGAAAGAATGGGATGCAAAATACTTGAAGTTTAACCTCTGACCTCAAAAAACATCTAGTAGAAATGTAAATTCTGAGTCAAATTTTAGGTGTAGATTTTGAAGGTTAAAAGAATTTTGTCATGGATTATTTTGGAAGTCTTGGTAGGAAGATATTCTTGATGATGGTACCTGCTTTTATTCTGCCAAATTTCCATTCTACTTTATGGAAAGCCTTCAGGAGCAGTATATAAATTAAAGAATATCTCCTGGAAAATGTTTGATCTGGGGACAAGTAAAATGGTAATACTGGTGTCAGAGGAAGCTATAAGTAAATCAGCAAATGAGGATAAATAGTTTTACTGTGAAGCTGGGGTATGTTTTTGAGGTCTGGCAGCTATCAGAAAGATTAATTGAAATTTGGTATTCAAATGCATTGTAATAGTGGAAGGTTTGCAAAATTTAGTGTATTCAAATAGAAACTGTCAACAAGCAGTAATGGGCACAGGTTTTTACATCTGTTTAAAACTTTATGAAAAATCTAATAAATGTTTAAAGGGGTAGAAATATTAAACATTTGCTTTTGAGTATTCTGTGCGAGATTCATTAGTAGTATTAGTTTGTCATAACAAAAAGGATACATCCAGATACCTTCCTACAGTCCTGTCATTGGTCACACACTGGTCTCACACCGGTTCCTGC